GAAATACAGATATAATTATTCAAGGTGCGACCCATGCACCGCGCCTATCTGGTGTGTGTGTCAGACGACAGTAAGACGCGACCCACGTGGCACCACATCAGCGTAAGGCGCGGTGCATGGGTCGCACCTTTCTACAAAGGGTGCTAGATCGGGAATATTATCTCAAAGGGTGTCTGAAACGTAAATATTTAAGAAAAATGTATTTTTTGGTAAAATCTCCAAAAATGCACAGTAAGTAGGAAAAAAATTAACTAAAGACGCCAAGTAATCCATGTATGAAAATTTTAGCCCAAAGGCACGGCCCATATAACTAAAGACGCCAAGTAATCCATGTATGAAAATTTTAGCCCAAAGGCACGGCCCATACACCTTCCATCCCACCGACTCAACTGACTGTTCACACCATCCATCTCATCCTATAAATACCCCACTCTCAACTATTTGGTCTATTTCGTTTGGATGGAAATCTGTATAAGTTAAAGGAAACAATGATGTTGGATATCTGTACTGAAGCGACACCATTCTTCTAGCTTAGAGGATTGCTGTGAATGTTTACGGGTTAAGAGCGTATTTATAGCCGAGAGAAAAGTTTAAAAGCCGAGAAATATGGATATAATTATTCAAGGTGCGACCCATGCACCGCGCCTATCTGGTGCGTGTTTCAGGCGACAGTAAGACGCGACCCACGTGGCACCATATCAACGTAAGACGCGGTGCATGGCCGCACCTTTCTGCAAAGGGTATTAGATCGGGAATATTATCTCAAAGGGTGTCTGAAACTTATATATTTAAGGAAAATGTATTTTTTGGTAAAATCTCCAAAAATACAGAGTAAGTAGAAAAAAATTAACTAAAGACGCCGAGTAATCCATGTATGAAAATTTTAGCCCAAAGGCGCGGCCCATGCACCTTCCATCCCACCGACCCAATTGACTATTCACACCATCCATCCATCTCATCCTATAAATACCCCACTCTCAACTATTTTCACCACACCAAATCCTCTCAAAAACCAAATCTCGTTCAAATTTTATTTATAAGGTATATTTTATTATATTTAATATTTTGTTAGTATTTTATTTAATTATTGAATTATTTAATTTTTTTTATTATTTTATTTAAATATGTTATTTTTCGCAGTTATAAAATGAAAAGCGATATGCTTCGTTTGGATGTAAATTTGTATAAGTTAACGGAAACAATGATTTTGGATATATGTACTGAAGCGACGACATTCTTCTAGTTGATAGGATTGCTGTGAATGTTTACGGGTTGAGAGCGTATTTATAGCCGAGAGAAGAGTTTAAAAGCTAAGAAATACATATATAATTATTCAAGGCGCGACCTATGCACTGCGCCTATCTGGTGCGTGTGTCAAACGACAGTAAGACGCGACCCATGTGGCACCACATCAGCGTAAGGCACGGTGCATGAGCGCGGTGCATGGGCCGCGCCTTTCTGTAAAGGGTCTTAGATCGAGAATATTATCTCCAAAAATGCACAGTAAGCAGAAAAAAATTAACTAAAGACACCGAGTAATCCATGTATGAAAATTTTAGCCCAAAGACGCCGAGATATCCTGGGGTCTGTAGGTTATTACTGTAGAAAATACTTTAGATGTGAAAATAATATTATAAGCACGTTAGTTTGTGAATTAAACACTCCCTGTAGCATTATTTAGGCACTTTTGCCACTTAAGAAGTAGTATGTTCTAAATATTTTCAACAATTTAACAATAAATGATTAATCATCATGCTGCAATCGCTAGTGCTCTAACTCATAATCATTAGAAACAACAACGATTCCTTTAACCACTTAAGTAAGTTGATCTATGCTATAAATATTCTTAAAATAGTGACAAGTATCACATTTTATTATATTTATATATAAATAATTATTTGATATATTGATAATGTATTTTTTATTCTATAATCAGTGGTAAAATATTAGAACGTGTTTTTTTTTACTTTTTCTTTTATTATATATAACCTAAAAGATACTTGATAATATTTAAAAATCATTTGTAAAATTCATGATTATCAAAATCGGACAGGTCGGTTTAATCGGTTGAACAGTGAATCGGTGGCTTATCCGGTCCGATTACCTCACAAAATCGGTCTGGCAATGAACCGGCTGAAAACTGGTAAAATCAGGGTGACTCAGCTAAAAACCGGCAAAACCGGTTTGAACCGCCGGTTTACCTTTTTTCTTTAAAAAAAATTAAACCAAATGACGCCGTTTGTTCAACGAGCCAAGTCAAATTCGAGTATTGCTGAGCTCGACTCGAACTTGAAAACTTTAAAAGTAAGCTCAACTCGACTCAAAAACTCACGAGCTAAAAATTATCAAGTTCAACTCGAACTCGAAATATAATATTAAAACTTGAACTCGAAAAGGCTCGAACTCAAAAAAAATTTAGAAGTTCGATTGAAGCCTAAAATTTGAGCTCAATTGAAGCGAAAGAATAGTTCGCTCTATGCTCACCAAAAGGCTCCATGATTTTGAATGTCAAATTATCTCTATTATTTATAGAAGTAAGTTGGGATGCTCTTCTATGTTTCTTAGCCATGTGGGATTGTTTTGTTCTCATATTTTTAATCTTTAAACTTTTGGGATGCTCTTCTATGTTTCGATTGAAGCCTAAAATTTGAGCTCAATTGAAGCGAAAGAATAGTTCGCTCTATGCTCACCAAAAGGCTCCATGATTTGAATGTCAAATTATCTCTATTATTTAGAAGTAAGTTGGGATGCTCTTCTATGTTTCTTAGCCATGTGGGATTGTTTTGTTCTCATATTTTTAATCTTTAAACTTTTGGGATGCTCTTCTATGTTTCTTAGCCATGTGAGATTGTTTTAAAAAAAAAAACCAAATGACATCATATGTTATGATTTTTTAAGCACCAATTTTATTTTTTTGATTATAGTTATATAATTATATTTATTATTTAATATGTTTTACCTTAAATATTATGTTGTATTTGATTTGAATCATTTTGTTTCACTTGATTTTATGGTTTTTAATTTATATATGTTATGACTTGTGATATTTTTATACCTTTTAATATTGTAAACTTAAAAAAAGTGTTACATATATATTAATATTGCTTTGAATATTACGTAAAATTTTAAAAAAAATTATTTTATATAAAATCCGGTTCAACAGCGGTTGAACCCGATTGAAACAGTGAACCAGTACATTCACCGATTTAATGTCCGGTCCGGTTTTAAAAATATTGGTAAAATTAAAATTTTATATTATTAATATATCACTATTAATTATTGATATTTTGTTGAATCGTATTTAAAGTCAATATTTATTTTTAAAATAATTATTAGTAAACTTTGTTGTGGTCTAATTTTTTGTTGTATCACATTTAAGATCGCATGTTAAATAGTTGCATCTGCCAAATTTCATAAATTATAATTAAGTTGTTATAAAAATATTTTTATGACAATTTCATTAACTCTTACTGTGCGTGATACAAATTCCAGATGGCAAAATTCATGTTTGGGGGGGGGGGGGAACCCTATATAGCTTAGTGGCTAGCCACTTTTTTGTACCTAAACCACTTGGTGAAAAGATTCAAGATGATGAAATGATATTCGAATTTGATGTAATATATTCCATTATAGTCCTTTAACTATCTAAAATAATATATTATTAATTTATTTGTAAACCATACTAAATTACATGAATTAGTTCAAAATTCAACATCAACTTTTTAAATTCGTGTTTAAGGAATTAAATTTGAGAACTACCTTTATATATCATCTTTGAAATTTATAACATTAAATCTTTTATATTTTGATCCATCCATTAATACCAAATGTACAATGATTTGATACAGTGAGGCCCCATATCTACCATTTTAACCCTTATAAATGGGTTCTAAAAAAACCCTTAAAAATGGAGCACATTCTCTCCCCTCCCAATAGTGCAGAATTATATATTCCTGTGCAACCAGTGATGGACCTAATGGTGCATAATTATTTGACCCCTTGATCGCATTCACTACTGTGTTTTCTTTTCTTTTCTTTTCGTTTCTTTTCTTTTTTTGGGGTGGGGGTTAATAGAGGGAAAACAAGTAATTTGATTCTTTTCATGATAATGGAAGTTTTAATCCCTAGACTTTATAAATTTTTCTGGAGATTGATGTCATGGTTATAAGGATATTAAGGTTGCAATGGGTTTTGGGGGCGAGACAATATTATATTGTTAGAGAATAAAGACATGGAATAGTGGGGGGCATTCGGGTGGCCTGCGACTAGGTTTACACACAACCGATGATGATGAGTCTCTGTCTACTTCTACCATGTATTGTTGTCTGCTCTCTTTTATCTCACTAAAAACCAACACCATTCTTTTTTTTTTCCAGTTAAGAATACTTTTTTCTTCTGTTTAAGTTGAGGAGTATTTTAACGATGCTCTTAATATAAGTCTTTTTTTAACTCTTTGCTAAGAGGAAAAAAAAATCAACACCATTCTTTGTAATTTCACAACAATTGTTTAGCTATCTGATCCTGACACTCCCTTTACTGTTAACGCTCACTATAAATCTATAAAAAATTAGAAATGAAAATACCATCTTCGAGTCATCATGTATCACTGAAAGTTTGTTTTTTCAAAAAAAAAAAATTTGCTTTTATATTCGAAAGTGTGGGTTTAAAGGGTAAAATCAGAAGAAAAATCTAAAAAGAAGGGGGGGAAAGTCGAATTATATTCTCCTTTATGTGCTGTCGTGTACATCTCACTTTACATGTGATTCCACGTATACAATCCATTGTATGCACTTCATACACTGTATTTCCTGGCTCTGAATGGTCAACCTATGAGGACAAAAGAGAAATGAGGGAGACTTGTTCATCATTTCACAGCCTGATTCGTTACTCTTTTCCTTTGATCAATAATTTGTCCCAACTCCTCAATAAGTCCCTTAATTGACCCTACACCACCTGCTCTCATTTCTCCCCATGTAAAACCCCCTTTTTTAGCCTCCTCGACATCAAGATTCTCTGCTACGTTTTAGTTTTTTTTTAGACGCAATGGGAGTCGATGATATTCATAGCACCGGTCTTTGCCTTGGTCTAGGTATAGGCTGCCTTGTTAAGCAAGAAGTTTTTTCGCGGTCGAATCATCAACAACAAAAGAAGAAGAAATCTTTCGTCAAACATGATGAGTTTTCCCCATTTCTTTCGTTAGGTCCATCACATGACATGCATGGATCTTTTGTGAAGTTTGATTCCAGTAAAGCACGTGGTGAGTCGGTTGATTTGCAACAACGTCAAGCCTCTTCTCTCAGTCTCAGCACAGTTTCTTCGTTTTCTAACTCGAGTGTTAAGAGGGAGAGAGATTTTGGCGGTGAAGAGGTGGAGTTGGAGAGAGTTTCTTCGAGGGCCAGTGATGAAGACGAAGAAGGCGGTCCCAGGAAGAAACTTAGGCTTAGCAGAGAACAATATGCCATTTTAGAAGATAGCTTCAAAGGACACAGCACTGTAGACCCTGTAAACTACTGCTTGTTTTTTATAAACGTATATATACTCCTATATGATTTCTATTGTTTGATACCGATTCCTCCTCATGTTGGCAGAAACAAAAGCAAGCTTTAGCAGAACTGCTGAATCTAAGGCCCCGGCAAGTGGAAGTATGGTTCCAGAATAGGAGAGCCAGGTATACTGTTTGTCATGAAATAAGGTTTTTTTTCTCTCCCTTATTTTCTAAAGCCATTTTTTTTTTGCATTATTTATATAGGACAAAGCTGAAACGGATTGAAGTAGATTGTGAGTTACTGAAGAAACGTTGCGAAACACTAACAGAAGAAAACAAGAGGCTTCACAAGGAACTGCAAGAGCTCAAATCATTGAAACTAACGGCATCATATTACATGCAACTTCCAGCAGCCACCCTCAGCATGTTCCCATGTTGTGAAAAGGTTGACAATGGAGGTGAAGGCCCTTCGGCTTCGGCATCCAACACTTTTACAATTGGGCCGAAATCTCACCTCTTCAGTCCCTTCACCCACCCCATCTGCAGCCTGCTAGATAACTTGTTCAGGGCCATTGAACATTGCTACTTCTCTTCAAGGGTATATAAGTGTCAAATATATGCGTGTATGTATGTGTGCAGTAATTATTAAGACCTTGCTAGACTTTATGTCTATACATTTCTTTCATTACTTAAATATTTTGTACATAACAAAAACTGACAAGGTTTTTTATTAGTACTATCCATGCTGATTTTGATTCATTTAGTGGAGTAATTTTCTATAGCTTTCGGTGAGGAAGAAACTCAATGGAGGTTGCCTTGGTTGCTTAATGACCAAGAAAGAGAAAACATGGAAGAAATGGAAGGACGAGCAATTTGCTCATAAAGTAAACCCTTCTTTTAATTGATTTAAATAAAGGGAATTTGTATCTGAGATCTCTGTTTTCGTTTGTAGTTTAATGTGATTACCGTAGGATTACGTCGGTCACAAAGGAAAAATGAAAAAGGAACATTGTTTATAGACATTCGCTGACAAAGTAATTAGTTTGATGAAGACTTTAATTAATACAGATTAGATTAATCATTTCTACATACATACACACGTTGCATATGTAGACCATCCAAAAGTTCAGAAAGGAACGGTAAAGATTAGATGATGAGAATATGTTCTTAATTGACAATTGTGGTTTTGATGTCAAAATAAATTTATTTATTTGATTTTTTTATTGTGGATTGGTGGATTGGTTGTAATTAAACCTTGAGTTCGGTAATAAAATCATAATTATCAAAAAAAAAATTGTTTTTTTCAATCAATAATACGTAGTAATTAAAGAGAAGTGAGGATCGATCCACAGAGACTTAAAAAATTTTAAATTTTCGTCTGAATTGTTTAAACTATGGGTTATATAGTAAGTGGGGGTTTGTAAAAAAATGATTAAATAAAAAAAACATTTTTAAAGTGAAAAGATTGTTAAGTTAAAAATGAATACGACAAAAACAATCTCAAGCCTCGCCTTGACTTAATTTCTTTCAAATCATCGAATTAGATTTTTTCTTTGGGATTCACGTCGGTTATTTTGTCTACAAGGACAATCCTCGTGACTCTATTTTGTATACCGAATACCCAAGACAATCTTTGACTCCGGCTTCGGAAATTGATTTGATCAATATCAATTGTCGTAGATCAATTACCGTTTAAGTTTGTGAAGATCGACTCGGATTGTTGTTTCAATAACTATTAATTCTAATCTCAATTCCCTCTCGGCAAGGCTATCTCGCCAAGTGTGTTCCTAGGAAGTCGAATGTGCTTTTAATAAGCCGATCATTCCTCCCACACATTTAATCGCAACAACATCTTGACCAAATCATAAAAATAAAGGAAAACCCGAAAACTTGAAAAATAAATAAAGGAGATAATTTTTATAAAACTAGAAAAGAGAAGAAGAATTAATTTAAGTTGTGTATTTAGGCTTACCCCATAACCTCTAAAAACCTACATATAAACAAAGAAATTAAAATTAAAATAATCTTAAAGATAAATGTTTTTTAAATTCAAACTTTAAAATAAGTCTCCTAATGCAGCCATGCCTGTCCATCTTCCAGAAGGCGCACTGACTAGATATTCTAGAAAACTGTCGTTGACTGAACCTTCTATAAACTGTCACGTCAGACCGTGTCATGCCTAGAGTCGTGCCCATGTCTCTAGCCGTGACCAAATAAAAAAAATACAGAATGCGCCCGTTTTACTACTAATTCTGAAAAGTGAGACCATGCACGAAAATAAACATAACACAACTAAATCAGCATCAATAAATCCATAAGATCGAATAAATAACGAACAAATATAACCGATTCAGAACACTCATCAATAATATATTCATAAGAGAGGAGAGAGAAGAGGAAAGCAACTTTTAAACTAAAATAATTAATACACGCATGAAGATGATTAGTGAACCGATGTTTATCATGTGTTTATCAATTCATTACTACAAATAAAATTTGACTTTGGCTTCTTGGAACTGTTGAGTGACAATTTTTCATCATTTTCCTCTTCCGTCAAACTAACTTTCCCTTTTCCTAACAATTACTTGAAAAAGAAAATAGGGTTTTAAGCTTATCACGTTAGTTCTTGTAAGACTTACGGTGGGGGTTTTGAGATTCCTTTGATACATAGTTGGGCTGGAAACTAGAAGTGATGAAAATGAAACAGAGAGTACTTCATAGCAGATGTTCATACATGTGTTTAGGGTTTAGTTACGAACTGATACATATATTTTTTTAGGTTGAATTTATAAAAATTTAATAAAAACATAACTTATAAATTGGATAAAGTACAGAAATTGTTGTTTTTGTTTGAGTTTTATAAAATTTTCCTCATTGAATTAAAAAACCATAAGATGTGGTCATTAAATGTCAACTGTCGTTAAATCTTTAACGGTTTGTTAATGTGGCACGATAAGTTTATAAAATTAAAATTACATCATTTCTACGTAGATAATATGTGGATTAAGTTTTTGTCACTTTCTACATATTTGTACACTTTTGGTAACTTATGTTATCGTTTTATTAAGTTTTGGTCACTTAGACGTTGAATGACGTTAATTTGATGATGTGACACGTTAGTAAAATCATTTACTTTTTATTTTAACCCCTATACTTTAGACAAAATATTGATTATGAGTCTTTTTGTAAATTCAAATTAGTTTATGGACAATATTTTAATTTATCCATTTTTAATAGGTTTTCATTTCAACCCCATTATTCTTCATTTTCTCCCTGCTTCTTTTTAAGACATCAATGTTCTAGTACTATATTGGCCTTCTTTCAAGGACTCGTGCTACATTTCAAGAATAATGAAAATTTTTCAACTTTCGATAACAAATAATAACACCACAAGTTCAGAGAAAAATGAGAAGGTATGCATCTAGAGTTAAAACGAAGTTGAGTAATCTCAGTTATACAAACTAAAATTCAATTTGCAAAGATTGAGATTCCAAATGTCAAATCCAACAATGAACAAGAAGATAAATCAATAGATCCAAATAACTTGATAATCGGACATCACTAATCGTGGTGATTTTCTCTTGAGAAATCGCCTTCGGTGAAACATAATCAATAGATCCAAACAACATGATAATTGGATCCGTGAATTCATCCATTGAACTCAATCCAAAATCCATGATCTTCAACGTTGAATCTTTGTTTTTGCTCAAGAACAAGCAATTTTTTAATTCTAGATCCCTATAAATCACCGTTAACTCTTGTAGCTTGTGCAACTTGTCGCATCACAAGCATCCGAGTATCTCATTTCCAAATGACAAAAATGTAATAAAACAATAATGTAAGTGACCAAAACTTAATGAAACGATAACGTAAGTAATTAAAAGTGTACAAATATAAAAGGAAAGTGACCAAAACTTAATCCACGTATTATCTACATGAAAATGATGTAACTTTAATTTTATATATTTACTGTTCTACGTCAGTAAACGTGTTAACTATCTAACAAATATGAGAAAAATGGAGAATGAAGAACTTTGTATAATTATCAAGAAAAGATACAGAATGAATAGAATAAGTATTGCTATTTATAGCACACGTAGCTATTGTAACAAACTTGAAATTGTATACACGTCAAAATAACAACTCTAACAAAGTTGGTTAACACATGCACAGCTCATCAAATCACACACTATACACGATCTCAGCAACTCATGTTATTTACACTTCAACATTCTCTCAGCTCCTCTTTGATCATCTCTCTCCTACATTAGCAACCTGTACCTTCTGTCGAAATAATCCTTGCGACGTCTTCAACAAAGGTTTAGTCAAGCCGCCTGTAACTTGATATTCTGTTGGTACGTAATTCACCTGAATAAAGCCATTAGTGACCTTTTCTTGAACAAAATGAAAGTCAAACTCTATGTGTTTTGAACGAGCGTGAAATAAGGGATTTACGCTCATGGAGATAACACTCGTGTTATCGTTCCAGACAAGTGACTCACCCATGCCAGCCAACAACGACTTAATCCACACCACCTCAGATATTGTGGCTGCTATACTTCAATATTCTGCCTTGGTTGTCGACCTTGCGACCGTCTTCTATCTTCTAGCACTCCAAGAAACCAGATTACACCCCAAAAATACACATCCACCTGATACAGACAGTCTATCATCAACATTACTCGCCCAATCGGCATCGGAAAATGCGGTCACCGACTGAACATCCGAGGAGGTGGATGAACGAAACACTAATGGGTGACTAACATATGGTCAATGGTACCACTAAGATACCGTAAAATTCGTTTAACGGCCAATCAATGCCCTTCACAAGGACGATGCAGATACTGAGCTACTCTATTTACACTAAAGGCAATATACGACCTTGTGTGACAAAGATAAAATAGTGCCCCAACAGTGCTACGATATAACAACGCATCAGACAGGTTTCACAGTATCTCGTGTCAACTTAGGTGAAACCACCATAGGTGTGGGAGCTAGCTTTGCTCCTGCCATGCACATACGTTCAAGAAGTTCTCGAACAAACTTTCTCTGTCGTAACACCAATTGCTCAGAACTCGGTTTAACCTCTAAGCCCATAAAGTAACTAAGCTCACCTAAATCCTTCAAGGGAAATTGTTTACCAAGCAACTAAATAACTTCTCCAATGGCAGTCCTTGACTCTCGAGTTACTATAATATCGTCAACATAGATTAAAACAAAAGTGCATGATTTATCAGTTAGCCTCACAAACAATGAAGCATCAGCCGAAGTTCCACGAAACAAAAAGTAAAAAAAATTTGTCAAATATTATAAAACTACATCTGATGAGCTTGGCACAATCTGTACAATGTCTTCCTTAACCTGTAAACTAGCCGAGAACCATCGGCAGATATTTGTTCAAAACCTAGCGGTTGAGACATAAACACCTCCTCGCTCAGCTCTCCATGAAGAAAAACATTATTTACGTCAACCTGACGTAAACACTATCCTTGAGCAACAACCAACAACAAAACAACGTTAATTGTACCCAATTTTACCACAAGATTAAGTGTGACGCCGGACAGGATAGCGATTATTCTGTAGGCTGGTTCTAACAGATGATTCACAAGAGAAAATTCACCCAAAACCAGAGAAAACAAGTCTCTAGGGTTTAACGAAATATTATAAAATCAAACAATGCAAAATCAGTCCACAAGCCGGACTGTTATAGCAAAAAATCATGTTTATCCGAATTTTACTAATAATAGCAAAATCCCGAAAATCACTCTAAATTGAAATTCGAAATAAAAT